CTGCCCCATGTCTGGCTGCCCCCCCCCCCCCCCCACCGCACACGCACACGCGCGCGCGCACACACACACTTGTGTCCGGCTGGGGTACACTCCTGAAAATAGGTTGAAAAACCCTGGACTAGAGTTTCTTGTTTTATTTATTTATTTATTTATTACCATTTCTGTGTCTGTCCTTAGGTTTTCCAAATGTGGGAAAGAGCAGCATAATCAATAGTTTGAAGGAAGCGCGTGTCTGTAATGTGGGGCCACTAAGAGGTGTGACCAAGTAAGTTTAATCTGATAAAAGCCCACTAGTTTTGATTTTTCTTGTTGCTGTTTGCTTACCTAGTAGTCTTAATTTCAACAATTTTCTTCAGTGCCTGCTCTTATCAGTTAAAGTTACAGTGCATAGCTCCTTTATTCTAGAAGGATCAAAACACCCCCTCTGCACTTTTAAAAAGTGTAGTGGGGTCTGTGAGGATTCAGGCACTGTTAAGTTGTATATTAATTTTGAAGTAAATGTTTCATATCATGTAAATTATTCACTGCTTTTAAAATCTGGCCTAAGGCAGGGATATTCAAACCTTGCTTATTGTCTGTTCATTAACACGCACCAAGACAAGGACTGATGTACTGAAGGATATATTGAAACCTGCTGATCTTAAATAGAAAGGTGTGGACTGCAGGCACTGGTATGATCAGTTTCACATTTGGTTGTTCATATGTACAGATCTGATTTCTCAGGACCTGCTTCATTAAAGTTGAAGACACCCATGGGTGGGCCGTGTGATAAATTTATGGCAGCAGCAATCCAATAAACTAAGCCTAATTGTCTATTAAATATGGTATCCATTAGGGGTGCACTGACAGATTTTTTTGGGCCAATACCAATGACTGATTTTATTGACCAGCCATATTGGCTGATATGCATTGGAGAGCAGCATCCAGCTATTAAATCTGGGGTAAGGGACATTGGCGGGTGAGGGGGGCAGATTGAGGCCCCCATGGTGAGGGAGGGAGTGGGACAGGGGAGGCATTACCCAGTCAGGGCAGGGCCGTGCAGGTCGTGGGACAGAGCTGCAGGTGGCTAGTGCAGGGGGGGCTCCCACTGCTGCATGCACCCCAGGGGAGGTATGGGGGGCACATGCCCCCTGGATCTGTGTGTGGGATGAGGGCAGGCTGCCCACTGGGCTTGGGACTGGGGCTCTTACCAGCAGGGGGGCTGGGCCAGCTCTGTGTTTGGGGTGGAACGGGTGGCGGTACTGAGAGCAGGGTCGGGGGCTACAGCGAATTTTGGGGTGGCTGTAGCCCATCTCAATAGCCGCCTCCCTCAGCATCGCTGCCAACTCCGCTCCTGCCCCCAACCACCCCAAACACAGACCTGGCCCAACCCCCTTGCCAGGAAGAGGCCCCGCCTCAAGCCCACAGTGGGTAGCCCGCCCTTGCCCCACGCACAGATCCGGGGGGCACATGCCCCACCGTCTCCCCCAAGGTGCTCACAGTGGCAGGAACCACCCCCACCCTGCGTCCCGTCCCATCCCCCCCATGAGCCTCCCACAGCTCCATCCTGCCCTTGCTTGACTGGGCAGCACCTGCCCCAGCCCCACTCCCTCCCTTATCATGCGAGCTTCGATCTGCCCTCCCCTCCCCTACTCCAGACTTACTGGCCAGATGGTGCTCTCCAAGCTGCCTGGCTGCATTCCTGACCGTGCATGGTGTGACTGCATGCATGCACGCAACATTTATCAGCAACATTATCGTCCACATCAGCCAAAAAAAGCTAATTGCTGATAATGTCAATTTTCCTTTTATCAGTGCCAATACAATGTGGACCGATGTATCGGTGTACCTCTAGTATCCCTATTAGGTTTTTTTTTTTTATGTGATCTCTAATCTTTTGAATTTCCTGCAGCTGTTAGTCACCTTTTTGGTCAGCAGGAGAATGTGCCTAGTAAATTTGCAGACTAGGAATCAAGATCTAACCCTACAAGTTACTATACCTGTCTGTGTTATAGTCTGACTATCTTCAAAATGGGGGTACCATAGTTATAATGATCTACTTTTTAGTTTAGAAAAAAGAGAGATCCCTTTGTGAATTACCACATGCAGAAAATTTTCAGTCTTATTGCTGTCACTCTTGTATATTGTGCTGAATTATGTAGATGCAAATAATACATTTTAGAGAGAAAATCAGAAGGCTTTAATATCCCATACTCCTTCAGTGAGTTGGTGACAGTTATGAATAGAACCTATGAGTTCTCCATTTACAAGACTCCTTAGTTTTAGGCTTTTAATATACATGAAGCACATGATGATATATTGGAACTGACTTTGTATGAGGAGTTTTTATTCAATCCAACACTGAGCTTCATGTCTTGCTGCTTCTTACCAAATACATTTAGCTGATTGATTTGTGTTTACCTAATTGAGTGATGCATTTTCTCTCTCAAAGGTGCATGCAGACAGTGCATATTGACAAACAGATCATCATATTGGACAGCCCCAGCATAGTTGTGTCTCCCTCCAACTCTGCTCTTGCTCTGGCTTTGAGAAGCCTCTCAGCTGTTGGAGAATCTAGAAACTTACTAGATGCAGTTAATGCTGTTCTGAAACACTGCAGTAAGCAGCACGTAAGTTATTGAATAACATTTAGGTTCTGTCCACTGCTCTTGCTCTAATAAAAAGGCTCATTCTGGCAAACAGTAGTAGAATGTGACCTACAGAAAGCTGAGCATGAAGGCTTCCTCAGGGGGAGGGTTTTTTTTTTTTTCTCATACAGCCAGCTTCTGCCTGTTATATCTGGTTGACTGGCAGATAAAATGCACCAGATCCTTTTAGCTTCTTGCTGCGCAACTTTTCTTATAATTTGATGATTTTACTAATGGAGTGAGAAATGAAGATATGCTCAATGTCTTACTGTTACGTTGAAGACATCAGATCCAACTCTGATCTCATTCCTAGATGCCCAGTATTAAGACTGATACTCAAACTGACTCCCATTTATTTCAACTGGGTATGTATACACCTACTCTTGGAGTGTTTCAAAAGAGAAGTAGCTGTTACTTTCTAATGGCTGTGTAAAGGAGGTGACAATACATATGTAGCACAATCACTCCAACTTTAACACTGCTTCATGCAGTTCCTCTTCTGAAACAGCTCCAAATGCGTGTCCTCACCTAAAGCTGGGTCTCTCCCAAATGTCATGCTGATTTGTAGGTGCAGTAGAATGGGATGTGTGATTCAACTAGGGCAGGGGTTTTCAACCTTTTTTGAGGCGTGTACCTGTTCTGGTGGGTACCCTCTTCCAGATGTGGACTGGGGGGTCCCCCTGGCAGCCAAACACTAAGTGGCAGCAGCAGCAGGCCATGTACCCCCTGGGGCTTTCCCAGTATCCCCGGGGGTATGCATACCCCTGGTTGACAACCCCTGAACTAGGGCAAGAACATTATGGCTGCTGTATTTGCTGATGGAGTACCCTGTAATGTCTGGTTCCAAATGTAAAGGTAAAGCATCTTCCTCTCTCATTCTGTCTTCCTCTGTGTTAGGTATTAGTTTTAGATCAGTGATTTATTATTTTCCTGAAATAATACGTGAACTAGTCTTTTTGGTTTTTTCTATTTCAGGTAATGCTGTGCTACAATATACCAGACTTCAGAAATTCACTAGAGTTCTTAACTTTGCTTGCTCAGAAAAGGGGTATGCTGAAAAAGGGAGGTGTCCCTGATACAGAAAGTGCAGCCAAATTACTGCTTTATGATTTGACAGGGTAAATACATTTTTATTTTGTTTCTGTACATAATGCACTCTGGGTGCTAGTGAATTACATGAAAGGTTAAGGTAGTCCTTCCCCACCTTCCCCCCTCTTTTTTTTCCTGCATCATGGAAAGGGATGTTGGATGAATATATTTTGACATCAGATGTCAAGAATGGGATGGAATATGAACTATTTTACACACAAATAATTAATCCATGGAACTTAAGAAAATTTATTGTATGTCACACAACAGCAGGGGTCCTGACCTCTACCAAAATACGTGCTGACGTCTGCCAGAAAGTGTCTGTCCCCTAAGCAAATATTTCTCTTCTGTAGACAGAAAAGTAGCTTAGACAGACCATTACTCCTATTCACATTTTGTAGGGGTTGACATATTTCTTTGTTTAGGATTAATTCAGCTGTCTTAATGACTAGCAGAGCGTGTTGACTTTCTTCCTAGTTAAAGAATAGGACTTATTAGCGAGTGGCTGTGTGTGTAAATGGTGACAAATCATGCCAGAAAACCAAGGAATTCTCACAGAGATCCAAGCGCTTAAAATATCTCAAAATCCAGTTAGAATTTAATTCTGTAAAAGTGCATTGCATATAAGGAATTGGTTATGCTGAGAAGTGTAAGAAGAGAAATGAGTGTTTCATGTGTATCTTTAAATGCGTGAAATGGTAAAGCATATGGGTGTTTTTAATTCAGTTACTTTCTTTTCCCAGTGCCAAAATAAGTTACCACTCACGACCTCCTATGTCTCAAAATCTGTCGTCACATCTTACTAAAGAGACAGTAGCAGAAATGCAGAAAGGTTTTAATTCAGAGGAGCTAGAAAAGGATAACATGAACACAATTAACGGTGAGATTCTTTTGTAACACATTATCATAGTTACGGTTATCATAGGTAGTGGTTTTAATGTGCAACTCTCAAATGAGAGGCCTGTTTTAGATAAATGGTTTTCCTAGAAAGTTCTGACTCAAAATTAATGGCCTATGGGTTTGGTCTTTGTCTTTGAGAGGAGAATGAAGCTGTTCTCTTGACCCTCTTCTAAAATGTCTTAACACTCAGTCTCCTGCTTTCCCAGAAACTCCATTCTGGATACACCTCTGGTGATCTGCAGTCCTGTTTACAGCAGCTTGCAGTGCTATTCAAAAAATTAATGCAGGGGTGGGCAAAATGGCAGATCTGGCCCGTGGCCAAACCCCATTGCCCAGCAGCCCCTGCCCATGTTACTATGGCTGGTTTCCATGAAGACCCTAGCAACAGCGGCACTGTGACCATGCAGGGTCAGGGTTTCCATGGATATAGGCCTCAGCAGCACTAGCAGGGTGCACTGCTGGGTGGGGAGCTGCTCAGGGGCTGGGGCTGGTATCTTGCAGTGGTGACGACATGGTCCAGAGCTGGGGCAGAGTTGCGACCCGCTGCCTGTACGTCCCTGCCTGGGGCTTGTGGGCAGCAGGTCGCAGCTCTGCCCTGGTTCTGGACCATATTGTCACTACCACGAGATCCCAGCCCCAGAGCAGTTCCCTTCCCAGCTGCATGCTGGCCTCCATGTAAACCCTGGTCCTGCACCACTGTTGCTGGGGTCTCCCTGGAAACCAGCTGCAGTGATGTGGGCAATGGCTGCTGGGGCAATAGTCTACCCAGGGGCCCAATCTGGCCCTCAGGCTGGACTTTGCCTGCCCCTGAATTAATGCTTCTCCAAGGCTGAAGTGGTTTTCTGAGTTGAACCTCCTCCCCAAATCTCTGCATAACCGAGTCTTCAGAATGAGATTAGGAGGCAATCCTAACACTGTAAAATTCTAAAATCTATAATGGTACCAGTTATTGTCATAGCTTTAAAAAAATCAGTGTGGCTAAATCTGATTTACTGGCTCAAGTACAGGGTATGGATTACAATCTTTTTTCTAGCTGTGTCATGCATTTACTGTAACACTAGACAAGTTAGGAAATCGTCCTGTTTTCAGTTACCCCTTCCCAAAAAGGTAGGAAATGTCGCTTAACTATTCAGAAAGTACTCGGGTGCCCAGATCGCAACATGCATTTATTTGTACTGAGTATGTGTTCATAAGCATAGGCCTGATAGATCCTCAAGGCTGTTGCATGTAACCAATTGGCAGGGATCTTGGTTTCTCCTGACAAAAAAAAAATAAAAAAATTGCAAATTCTCTGATTTTAAAAACCCCAAAATCTATAAATAAAATTAAAAGCCCCCCATAACCTCCCCTTGCCCCTGTCCCCCAATCCTGCTGGAGGGGGCCCCCAGCTGCCAGGGCTATGGGAGCAGGGACCCTGGTCCGCAGCTCCCTGCCCCCAACAGAAGGCAGTGGCTGCTTCAGCCAAAGGAGTACAGAGCTGGCTCCCCCACTGCTGCCTGCCTGCTGGCTCTTGGCAGCAGTGTGCACTCTGGGTGGCAGGGGGGACCTGCGCCCCCCAGGTATGAGCAGGGGGTGGAGGCAGGGTGGGTGCGTGCTGTGTGGCTTCCCTGAAGGTCCAGTAGTGTGCTGCTCTGGGTCCGTTAGCCACTGGCTGGGCGGGCACTCCCCAGCCAGCTTCTTGCAGGGCTGAGGGAGCAAGGAGGTGTTGGGGAAAGCCCCACATGGATTGCCTACCCAACTGGCAGCATGTGGCGCTAGGGTGGCACTCTACTGGCCTGAGTGGACTCCACACTTCCATGTATGACTTCCCTTAATACAATGCTGCTCAGGTCTGTGCGCTGCCAGCTGGGCGTGCACTCAATGTGGGGCTTTCCCCAATGCCTCCCTGCTCCCTCAGTCCCCAGCCATCTTCCCACAGGAGTGCCTGCCTGGCCAGCGGCATGTAGACCCAGAGCGGCATGCTATTAGCATGAGTAGGCTCCATACTTTTCTGTGTGGCTTCTCTGAAGGGCCAGTAGCGTGCCATTCTAGGTTCATGCCCCACCGGCCAGGCAGGCACTCCTGTGGGAAGCTGGCTGGGGGCTGAGGGAGTGGGGAGGTGTTGGGGAAAGCCGGACCTGGAGTACCTGCCTGCCTGGCAGTGCATGGACCTAGAGCGGCATGGTATCAGTTCAAGCGGGCTCTGCGCCTCCATGTATGGCTTCCCTGACGGGCTGATACCATACAACTCTGGATCCATGTGCTGCTGGCTAGGCGGGCACTCCATGTGGGTCTCTCTGCACCACCTTCCCCACTCCCCCACCCAGCTTCCTGCAGGAGTACCTGGCCAACCCAGCTGCACGTGGACCCAGAGCGGCATGCTGTCAGCCCTTCAGGGAAGCTGCACATGGAGGCGCAAAGCCAGCTCAGGCCAATGCCGTGCCCCTTGCCGTCCACGTGCTGCTGGCTGGGCAGGCACTCCATGCCTTTCCCTAACACCTGCCCGTGCCCCCCAGCCTTGACTGACAACCGCCCAGCCCCCTGCAAGCCCCACTTTACTTCACAGGCTCCAGGAAGGGAAGTGAGCCTGAGCCCAGCCTTGGGTGACTAAGAGTCTCAGACCCAGCCCTTTCCCCCCCTCCGGCAGGGTTTGGGGGGGGGTCCCTGCCCTTTTTGCAATTAGCTTGTGGAGGCTGGAGCTCTCTGCAAAAGTGGGAAATTCACAGGTTTCTCTGCTAAAAGGTAAAATCTGGGGGGTGGGTTTCTCTGATAAACTATGGAAATCCATGATTTTCTCTGTTTTTCCGTGGGAAACAGAAAACCTGGATCCCTGCTAACTGGTCACTCTGGCTAGCTTTCAACGTCAGTTCAGACCTAGATTCTTCATTTTCAGACTTCTTTCTAAAAGATATTATCTTGGCAAAGTGTTGAATAAAAGTGACTTAGTGTTTGCAAATACCTATCACTTAGTTCTTTTGCTAACCCAATTAATTGATTTCTCTAATGCCTTTCACAGCTGTGAAATATCCCAATTTGGCCAGCAGTCTTCTTTTCCAGTTTTCTGGTATGACAAATGGGACAACCGAAGAGACTGCATTGGAAGAGGAAATGTCAGAACAAGATGACTTGGAAACTAGTGAAAACGAGAATGATGTAGCCAATGATCAGGAAAGTGCTGAGGAAGAAGCAGCTGGTGAAGAGGTACTTTTAAATAGTTTCACAAAGGCTTCCAAGTCCCAGGCCTGAAAAAAATAAAACCCGTTGGTAACATGGCTTGTAAACTGAGAGAGGTTATACAGTAGAGAAGCAGCAGGGGAGATCACCTATCTTGCTTAACTAGAAAGAGGGGAGAAAAACTTATGGTCAGAAAAATAACTGTCTAAAAATGGTATTTCTTGCTCGCATTTGAGCCCTGTTCAAATATTTCTCTTATACTTAAAAAGTTTACAATATTAACTTTTTGTTTTTATAAATTTCCCCTCCTTATGTCTATAGAACTGCCAGTTTTTGGAGAGTGAGCTATATTTTAGTCTGGCTTGTGCATAAATCAAAGTGTTAAACTATAAGCTCTAGCTGTTTAAATACTTATTGTGTAATAATGATGCAGGAACCAGAAAGAGCCCAGCTTGAATACTCAGAATGTAGCATAAGCTTATTGGAACCTGACTGATCCTTAAAGTACTGAATAAGCAAGGCTACCGGATTAATACTATGGGGTTTATATTCACAGTGCATTCAGATTTCTAGCTTCTCTTTTCATAATGGGAGTTCCAAGCATTTTCTTTTAACCAGTTTCCCTGGCAAAGTTTTCAAGCTGCCTACTATCAACTTAATTCTTGCAAAAAAAAAAAAAAAAGTGTAAGATGTGTTAGCAGTCTTCCCTGCACCTTCCTAAAATATTAAGTTATGTTGTATCCATCTCTTCTGGCTATGAGCATATCAAAATTGTAGATAATTAATTTAAATATAGTACCTCTGCCCTGAAGGTTGTAGTTCTAAACAGTGTACAGACAGGGAAGTGGAGTGGGATTGAGCAGTACAAGATAACATAAATTTTAATCTGAACATATACGCCCTGCCCTTCCTCCCCACTCTTCCAAAAAAAGAAAAAAGAAGAAGAAAAAAAAGCTTTGCCCCACCCTCCCTCTGGTCCAGGTAAACTGACACTAATAAGAATATCTATTGGTATTGGTTTTAGGAAAATAACATTCAGGTGGACAACAAAACAAGTAATCAAAAAACAAAAATGAAAGATACGACCTTAAAAAGGCAGCTGGCAGGTATGTATTAAAAGCCACAAGCTTTAAGTCATTCTATATAGTAATGGTAGCAAGAACTCGTAGCTAACAGCTTGCTTTTTTTTCTTTCCCCTTGAAGGCGGAGACCCCAATACTTTATCATTCAACCTAGATAAAACAGTTGATGAAGATGATTCTTATGATTTTAACATAGATTATGCATAAAGGCAGAAATGTGCACTCAGAGACCTGATTTTTTTAAATGCATTGTTAACTTTGTAAGCAACTTTGAACATTTTCCTGCTGCCTTTCAGTGCTGCTAAAATCCTACAGAACACAGGTCTTAAGCAGAGATTCAGCATCTCTATAGGCATGTAAAATATTGTATACAATGCAGCATGCCCTTGTGGATTTTCACATGTGATGTAGTTTGGTATAAGTATTTTGTTTTAAATAAATGTTAAGAGCTTAACTGTATTTGAGGAGGATTTTTTTCTATGTACCACAGAAGGGTACTTCAAAAAATTAAGCCCAATACTATTTTTACATTTTTTAAACTAACCACGGTAGATATTTAAATTAACGCAATATAAAGTGAAATTGCATGCACTTTGTTTTCACTTAGTGTGTGAATAAACAGACAAATTACTTCAAATTCCACTTTTTTATTTTAAATGATTTTCCTTTACAGCAGTTCTCAACCTGTTCTCTACCAGGACCTATTTATAAACATCAATAGCCAGCCCCAGCCCCCCGGTGTGTGGTGCAAGGGCCCCAAGCAGTCCTTCGCAGGCTGGAACTCTGCCACCCTGCAAGGGAAAGGCCATAGTTTCCCACATTTTTCTCATTTAAAGCAGAATCCATTTTTAAAGTTTAATCTATTTTTTAAATTTCTTCGCAACCCTTTCATATATTCTTGCAACCCACAGGATGAGAAATGGTGCTTTAGAGTGCGTCTGTATTGTACAAATATACAGGCCAATCCCAGCTAAAGTGCCTCCGTGTGCTGAAGCAGATGCTCCTGTGCCATTCCACCACTTGTAGGCTGGTAAAAAGGAATCACAGCACCCTTCACCACAATTCCCCAGAGAGTTCTGAGGAAAGCCAGATAGAAATAGCAGAATTCTATGGATAGTTGACACAACCTCCAATGTATCTTGGTTTCTGCATGGCAGGAGCAAAGAATGGATACCTACCTACCTACCATTAGCGTCAGCTTCTAGCCTTTCATGGAGTCCTGCTGTGAGGTATTGACTCCCCTCTCTAGGTTAAGATAAAGAGTCTTTGCTTATCCGGTTGGGGAGGACCAAGTTAGAGAGCTTCTGGAGGGGCTGGACGTGTTCAAATTAGCAGGTCCAGATGCTCTCCTCCCTAGGGTGTTGAGGGAGCTAGCAGGGGTTATTGCAGGGCCCTTCGCACAGCTCTACAAGCACTTGTTGTGCTC